TCACTAGCATTGGCGACTACATTCATCTTCCCGCAGGACCACAGACTCAACACCGAGACCTACATCAAGTGCCTTGATGACTTAGTGCTTTTCTGAGTCAAGACGGTGGCTGCTGGAAGACCCTATGTCTGGCAGCAGGAATCTGCACCATGCGACACAAGCAGGAGAATCCAGTCGTGGCTGTCAGACAATTTCTGTGACATCACAACTTACATCTGGCCACATTATTCCCCAGACTGCAATCTCCTTGATTATTATGTGTGGGGCGTAGTTGGGTGAGAGACCAACAAAACTTCTACTAAAGATGAACTGAAAACAAAGAATTATGGCAGCATTCACCAACCTAAACAAGGAGACTGTTCAGAAGAGTCGAAGTTGTCTGGAGGCCGGGGCTGATGTCAATAGCGATTTTATTGAATAAATTTACACAAACCCAACACCGAGGCCTACATCATAATAAACAATATCATCAGAAGAGGTTTGGATGCAGCTGGGTTTCCTTCCCAAATCGAACCCGTAGGCCTCGACCGTGGTGATGGAAAGCGGCCGGATGGCATTACCATTTTCCCTTTTAAAATGGGGAAGTCGTTAATTTGGGATGCGACCTGTGCGGATATATTTTCGGCCGGTAATTTGATCAGGTCCGCGATTGAGCCGGGGGTCCGTCGCCCGGGACGCAAAGATAAAAAAAAATAGTTAAATATTTTTCTCTTACTGATAGATCTTTTTTTTTTTTTTTTGCTCCTGTGGCAGTGGAGACTTCAGGGGTTATTGGCCCTCGTTCGATGGCGTTCTTTCGGAGGATTGATGCGATTGCGTCTCGATTACGGGACGAGCCTCGCGAAACGGAGTGGCTCTTGCAGCGTGTCTCACTGGCGATGGTTCCAAGTAATGCTTTCTCCATCATTGCGGCTGGCAGAGGATAGCAAAAAAAACATTTTGTTTATACTTACTTTGTTCAAACTTGTTTTAATAAGTTTATTTTTCAGTTTCCCATATGAATATAAAAAAAATTACAGTTTCGTATTTCAAGATATTTTTTGCAATTCTAGTAAATATATCTGTTAAAATGAAATGTCGGTGTTATTTTCATTATTGTATAATTTAGACAACAATCTATCCATGTACAGATATATAAATAAAATATAATATATATAAATAAAATATAATAATATATAATAAATAAATGCGATATAATATAATATAATATATATATTATATTATATATATAATATAATATATATAAATAAATATAATAATATATAATAAATAAAATATAATAATATATAATAAATAAATGCGAATGTCAGTGTGTCATACTTTTTCAAACTTATTCCTAGAGGCCGTAGCCCAACATATCATACTATTTTAGAATCAAGCCGATTCCGTGAGCAAATTAAAAACATTCCGGGTCGGATCCAGACCCGTAATCCTGAAATTTTGGATTCCCAAATTTTCAATACTGCGATTGTTTTCGGCGATTTTTGTACGTGATCATTTTGCGACGAATTTTTTGTACGATAATAATTTTTCTTTAACTTGTAAGTAAATTTGGGAATAATTGAAATTAATTAGGAAATCTAGAGAAAAACATCCATGAAATAAAAATAATTGTTTCTACGGAAAGTAAGGACCTACGTACATCGAACTGTCTTTAAATTAAGTGGCGACAGCAGAATTATCGTTGAATTTTTAAAAAGTAAGCTTAAATATTAATGCAATACTAAAATCTAGTGATAAATTTGAGTTCTTCTGAAGTTTATTATTGCCTATACGGCAAGCAATATGACTTGCAAAAAGAAATCTCGGCCAACAGAAGACCAGATTGCAATCAAAAGAACCAAGGCTGCAGCGAGGAAAAGAAAGTCCTGCGCAAATGAAACATTAAACGGCAGCCAGGAGAGTTCCCTATACTGAGAATATGCAAAGGCTAAGGAGTCTCAAATTCCTGAACAAGCTGAAAGCCGAATCACGATCCCTCCGAAGGAATTAATTTTATATATATATATATATATAACTTTAAACCTGAGCCATGGCCGTCGAACACTCGTTTGTCCACTGTCAAGCTAGCTATACATCAGGACCTGACGTATTTTGTTGTCACTCATCTTCGCAACATGAACAGCCCACCGATGTTGTGACTGCATTAGGAAAATTTCAATTCCATCAATGTTGCATTTTGCGAGATCAGTATTAGACACAATATCGTCAAAACTATAGCCACAGACAGCGTGGAGACAACTCTCTCTCTTTTTCTCTCTCTCTATCTCTCTCTCTCTCATATATATATATATATATATATATATATATTAAGATTCAAACTTTAAAATTCGAAACTTTAGATTTTAATAAAAAAACTTTTTTGCTGCTTTATTGTTATACATAATATTAATAATATTAATAATAGTAATATCGTTTATTTATTTTATATTCACACTATATTCATTTCCTAACTTATTTTGTTTCAATGCTTAAATTAATGTCAAACGTTAACAGTCAAATATATAAATCTGTGTTTTTTTTTAAATTTACCGCAATATGCACATATATGTTAAATTACCCTTCCTATTCGTTAAATATTGGAAGAATTTTCGGAAAAGCCTGCGGTTAATCGATTTTGGTATCTGATTATTGAGTGCAGGTGATTGGAAGATGTGTGTATGTAAAGTGGTTTGTCATTGGGTTTTCTGTGTGGTTTATACGTGCCTTTTTCTTAGGTTGAAGGTAACATTGAGAAAATCTACTTCGTTTAGGTTAGTTTTTATATTTATGTCGAATCGGTTATTTTTGAAAATCTTTATTATTGCTTTTCTAGTTTTGTCTGGGTGTTGTTTGTTATAGTTTCTTAAGATTATGAGGCCATCGTCCCTGTAGAGTCCTGTATCATTTTTATCTATTGTTTCGCTTAGTTCGTGTAGTAAATATATACATATAATTTCGCATATATATATATATATATGTGTGTGTGTGTGTGTGTGTGTGTATTCATCAAGTCGAGAAGAATCCTAAGCAGAATGCAGAAAGCACTAGACAGCCGTTTCGTCCTTTTTTGGGACTCCTGTGCAGTGTGCATCCACTATGAATGATTATTCAACCCCTAATCCACACAAAAAAAAAATCAGTTATATATCCTTGCTAGATCCGACATCTAATGCGTTGGAATGCGTGGCTTGGTGAAAGAAGACATTGCTCTTGGGGTCCTATCTGGTGGGTGAGTATAAACGCCGGTATTTAGTGAGTAGCTGCGTTACCTTGAGTCTAGTTAGTTTCTTTCTCGTTACGTAGGTCCGTCGGTCCAGTGGTAGGATGTTTGATCTGATTTTTATTGTTGTTTTTGTCCAAAATTGTATGAGTATCATCAATCTTAAATAGTATTAGTGTTTGAGCCTTTTATATTATATTCTTACTCTGTTCTGGCCATTGAGTTCTATCTTCTTGGGAATTTATATATATATATATATATATATATATATATATATATATATATATATATTGACCACTAATATTATCTATCTATCTATCTATCTATATATATATATATATAATAACAGCAAAATTATTCAAAACCGTTTAACAGCATAGGATAATTGTCCATCCCACAAAATATCTGATATCTATTATTATTATTATTATTATTAAACTAATTGAGTTTATTTTTTCCAGATTTTCAGATAAGACGTTTAGCTATCTTCACACCGTTTTCCGTAAGAATCGCAGAAAAAACCTTTGAGTTATTTGGCTAGAAAGAGAACATGTTAAAATTGTTTCTGTCTTCCAAAAGGAGCAATGGTGAGAGGAAAAAATTCATTCAGGCCTTCCGTAATGGTACCAACACTCACACTGTGGCTTCCATCCTCAAAGTCCATTCACGAAACCTCAAGATAATGGTGAATAAGTTTAAAAAAAGAGGGAACAGTACAAAGGAAAACTGGATCAGGAGGTCATGACAATAAGAGGGACCATCTTTCAACTTTGAGATAAATACATTGTTATTGTGCAAAATATAGTTTTATATAAACCTCGGAGAATTCCAGTAAGATATCTTTAATCATTTCGAAGATACAACGCTTTAAAGCTTAATCTAAGAATTGAACAATGATACTGTTATACGATTTAGACAATTTTGCTGTTACACCCCGTATACATAGTACATTAGTAATTAACTAAAACTAGAAGGAAGAATTTCGTCTATTGTCTATAATAATTGCCACAAGAAAGACAAACGAGAAAGGAATTCATATAAAAAAATTATATGAGTATAAGGCTCAATGTATTAGTTGTTCACTGTGGAACTCGCTATGATTCATCACAAAATTCAGATAGAAAAACAAAGGTTATACTCGCTATTATTATTATTATTATTCGCAGTATCAATGTGACATGTATCAAGAAAATATTATCTTGTAATGTTATCAGTAAAAATAATCAGATGTCATCATTTTCAAATTCACACAAATTGAGGGGAAATAAACCCGCCTGGGGGAATCGTCCATATATTATTGTTATCAACACGCCGAACAACGTGGAGAATTTATCTGTAAAATGTTGCTTCTTTCTATTGCGCTAGATAAACAGAAGCATTTCTTTCTTTCTTTTTTTTTCTTTCTTTCTTTTTTTTTACAGCTCATATCTTTATTGCGTGGTTAGCAATGACGTCTTGCTAGATCAATTAAGGCTGAGTAGTGAATATGATCCTCACTGGCTACGCCATACTTTCGGTATTGTACCAGATATAAGCTGGGCTTAGTAACTCACTACATACACACACACTCATATTTATACATATACATACACACAAATATATTTGGTTTGCAGGTTTGAAAGATTGAAGGTTATTTTTATAGCTTTTATGAAATAAAGATTATACCTATGGTATTTTAAGTGTTTCATATTCATTAATATATATATATATATATATATATATATATATATATAGTGACTTACATAGATATAAATATCTATCTATCCATAGATACAATCTGTTCATATCTGTTTGATACATATGAACAGACTGTATAGATAGATAGATAGATAGATAGATAGATAGGAATAGACTGTAGTAGGTAGATAAATACGAATAGATGCTGCAAAAGATTATTTCAACATCCAACTAAAATGACATCCCTTACCACGACGAGATTAATCTAAATTATATTAATGCTTGGTAGCCTTGCTGTCTGTGAAGATACCTCTGAACCGTAAAGTCACTGTAGTCACCCGACACTATCATTTTTTTACCACCAATATTAGATAAAAAAGTATGTCAAAATGGAAAAAAGTTTTCATGTAACCCATTTCATCCTTTAAGATTTCATCGGACGAAAGTGATGTTTACATTGATGCGACTACGCATGCGCGCAAAGTCAAGACGACGCTGAGAATTTTAGATTCAATTTTTTAAAAAAAAAGGTTTAGGGGTATAATCTAGACGAATTCATTTAATTTCTTTTTTTTTCTTTTTGTTTCTTTCTGTTTTTATCACATTTGCTATTAAATATCCTACACTGTGATGATAGAAAACCTGACAAGGACGGTGAAATGTTGCTAGAACCTGGGCGTAAATTTACTGTAAATGATCTCGCAATCAAATCACTTTCTATATATTTGCTTCTTAGCAAATTGCTTTCTTTTTTTTTTTTTTTTTAGATAGAGACATTTTTTAAATCAATGTTATGGTCACACTCATTATAGTGAAGAACTCATGCATCGAATTTATTCATTTGTAAAAATCACTTTTGTGTTTATATTTCTTTTTATTTAAATTCCTTCTGGTTTCTCCTATGCATTTACAAAACTTAATATACCGAACAGAAAACAGAAATCCACTCACGCACACACACACACACGCACCCCCCCATATATATATATATATATATATATATATATATATATATATAATATAATATAAAAGCAAACACTAATATTCCATGGTCATAATTTATTCCACTCGAATCGCAAATACGATATTTACCACTAATATTATCAAATGAATTGGATCGTATTTACGATTCCAATGGAATAAATTATGACCATGGAATATTAGTGTTTAAGCCTTTTTATTATATCCTTACTCTGTCCTGGACATTGAGTTCTACCTGGATTCTATCCTCTTGGAATTTTTTTTATACAAAATATATATGTATGTGTATTTACTTATGTATATATCTTTATATATTTTGCATACGTATGTGTATATTTACCACTAATATTATATATATATATATATATATGTGTGTGTGTGTGTGTGTGTGTGTGTGTGTGTGTGTGTGTGTGTGTGTGTGTGTACACTAAGTGTAGCTTAGTTGTGGCACCAAGCCGAGAGTTTTCGGATGCCTAGTGAGGATGCAACTCACTACTCCGTCGTAATTGGTCTAGCGAGACAAGCTTTCTAACTATTACACAAAGTCGAAGTTCCCAAAGCACAAACACATACACAAACGTTATTTTCTCCTTTAATTAGAGTGGTATTTTTAAATTCAAAATTATGGTCCAACTCATTATATTGAGGAACTAATACATTTAATGTATTGTTTTGTAAAAGATCCCTTTTGTGTTCATATAATCTTTCATTTAAATTCCCTGAAGTTTTTCCTATGTCTTCTTTGTGACGATCATTACAAGTGACAGAGTAAAGTCCTCCTTCAAGTCTTAGCTTATTAATTTGTTTTATATTAAGTATTTATTGTTTGAGAAGTAGTTGTAACAAATTCTTTAAGATTAGATAATCTTTTTTACTTGCAGTCCATAACAAACTGTCCATATATATATATATATATATGTGTGTGTGTGTGTGTGTGTGTGTGTGTGTGTGTGTGTGTGTGTGTGTTTCTGTGTGTGAATAAAGATCAATTTTCTTATCAGACATAACTGTGATTGCATTATAATTATATATGCAAATTACAAACGTCCAACCCGGAGGAATTAACAAAATGACAGGAGAGTGCCATAAGATTTATACTGAACAATATATCAACGCAGCAAAGCCAATGAAGTGCCACCGTTTTTTCTCAAGACAAACATATTTTTGTTTTTTCATGTTTTTTCATATTTTTATACTTGTATGGATTTTTTAAACATAAATTAAAGAAGACAGACATAATACTGTGGAAATATTGTTAAACATTATTAAACAGTGTCTTTTCTTTTCTGTTTCTTTTCTTAAATTATTATTATTATTATTATTATTATTATTATTATTATTATTATTATTATTTTCTTTGATTTCTGGCGTTTACATTTCTTCCCGGGTCCTGCCCAGGGACCTAAGGTTAGAAATGGCATCATGACACTTTCCACTGACAAAAAAAAAATTACATAGATAAAGCCCTTCGTAAAGTGTGGGCTGTACTTGTCAGAACAATTTTTGTATCTCCTTGAGGCATGGATTTCCAGGAATCCCTTCAATCAGTCTGCTGCAATCTTTCCCAACCAGACCTAGGGCTCCAACTACAACAGGGATTGTTGATGTTCCCATATGCCACATTTTAGAGATTTCTATTTAGAGATTTCTATTTCAAGGTCCTTGTATTTTGACAACTTTTTGAATATCTCCAAAGATACATTGCAATCAGCAGGGACTGCCATATCAATAAGAAGGCACTTTTTTTGTATGTGGTCTTTAATAACAATATCTGGGCGGTTGGCTTTGATTGTTCTCTCAGTGTATATTGTGTAGTCCCATAGAATTTTAACAGGCCCTATCTCCGTAACCGGGTCTGGGTGGTGTTCATACCATTTGCTTTCAGTTTCCTTCCCGTAGAAGTTGCAGATTTTCCAGTGCAGATATTGGCCCACTCTGTCATGCCAGGTTTTATATTCAGTGGGTGCCAATGTCGTGCAACCTGACACAAGATGATCAATCGTTTCTGGATATTTATCACAGAATCTGCATTTTGGGCTGACACAATATTTTACTACATGTGCTTGATAATTCTTAGTTAGCAAGCATTGGTCCTGGGCAGCAAGGATAAAACCCTGCACTACGTAGCCACTGATGGGTACGGATTTTGTCTACGTCCTCTTGTTTGGTACGGGCAGAGTATTGGCCGTGAAGCGGTTTATCTTGCCATCGCTTCTGTATCCGGTCGGTTGCATTCGTCTTTGCTGTCTTTTTTAAGTATTTTACTGTCTTTTTTAAGTATTTTTATTATTATTATTATTATTATTATTATTTCCTTACATTTCTGATGTATACTAATTTCTTTCCGGGTCCCGACCTAAGTTTAAAAATGGCTTCATGACATTTTCCACTAAGCAAATTTGAAAAAACTTACACATATTTTGCATAAATAAAGCCCTTTGTAAAGTGTGGCAGTGTATGCATTTCTTTAAGGCATGGGCCACAATGAATCACTTCAATGAATCTATTGAAATCTTCTCCACTCAATCTGAGGGCTCCAAATACAACTGGAATAGTCAATGTCTTTCAAAGTCCTTGTATTTTGATAGTTTTTTGAAGATCTTCAAAGATAGCATTGCAGTCTGCCATGTCAATAGGTAGGCACACTTTGTCTTTGCGGTCTCTAATCACGATGGCTGGACGATTAGCTTTGATTGTTTTGTGTGTGTGTGTGTGCATTGTAAAGTCATTATTATTATTATTATTATTATTATTGTGTGGACTCATCTTGCCAGAGAGTAATTTTAAGTATCTAATTACCAAGTTCCCCTCCGGTGTCTATGTTTAAAAAAGGTACTATAGGAGAATTATCTATGCACAGTAGGGACGTTCCTTTTACATAAAGACTGTTTTGCGGATGACATGTTCAGGTTCACACAAAGTAATCTTTTGTAGCTCTGAGATGCTGATGTGTCCAGCAATTTTACTGACATGAGTTTCTGTATACTTCATTATCGTACCCAGTGACCCTATTACAACAGAGATAATCGTAGTTTTAAGTTTTGAAATTCTTTATTATTATTATTATTTCAAAAGTTCAAAGTAATTTATTTAAGCGCAGGACTTGATTGTCGGCAAGGTGTCATCATTTTACAGTTGAAATGGCTAGATCTAACCGTTAGTTCTATACTAAGGGTATCTTATATCGCACTTCTTGCTTGTGGAACTCTCTTCAGGCTTCATATTTTCTAGCCAACTGTGGTCTTCAAAAATTTAAATGTAATATCAATCCTTATCTTCTGTCTTCTTAATTCCTGTTCTTTTATTTTCCCCTCTTCTTAATAGTATTTTCTCATATTCTCTAACACCCTTGCGTCCTAGTGGCTTTATTGCCTTCTTTGGTATAAAATGATTGAAAGAAAGGCGTGAAATCAAGTCATTGTACATGTCGCTAAATTATTAGGAGTAACTTACTGACTTTAACAGAATCGAAATCTGCAGCATTTCAGTTCCAATGTCTTTGATTACAAGAAATGGCTTATCTTCATTGCATTCTTGAATTTGAATTAAATGATAATCTGAATTATATTAATAACGTTTCCGAGTAATAGTATCACTCGAATAAACAAAATAGTAATGTCAAGTACGATCGAGTCTGTCTCAGGCTCTCGACACGACAAGACCAGACCCCCGTCTTCGGACAGAGAGTGACTCAGTCGGGGCTCTGTCATCGGAGAGAGATTCAGCTGAGGAAAACAGACCAGTAATGTACCCGAGCCCGTAAACTTCCCACCGTAAACTTGATCTTTTGTCGCATCTCGTCTCAACGGTGGGACTGAGTAGATACCAGTCGTATTGGAGTCAGTTTCCATGCTAACTATACAAGCCTTACGTCAATAGCCTAAGGATTACGTATAGAGAATACTTAACGAATAACATTATACACAGTAGGAGTAAATGTTTTTACAATCACCTTACAAAAGGAAGGTATAATATGATGACACCCTAAATCCGGTATTAATTATGAAAATCAATATAAACATATGTTATTAATATAATTTGCTAAAAATCCCGGTATTAAAATAATATCCTTTAAACCGGCACTTTATTATTTTCCATATATTGAGATTCATATTTTCTTGATTTCAAATGAAAATCTGAATAATTTTCCAGCATATTTCATAGTTTGCCAGGTCTCTGTCCTTCGTTCTTCCTGGTTTTCTTCATTATTCCGGATGACATCAATTCTTAACTCGGTATCGATGCTGATGACAAACATTTATTCCTGTCTTAATAATGAGTCTGAGCGGTTCGATAAGATCAAACAGCCAGCTGATCTACTTTCTATTGTTAACTGGGGCAAGTAATGGCTTGTTAATTTTAACGCATTTAAAATGAAACTGATCTCTTTTAATCGTCTGAGAGACACCTTTTTGCCTTCCATTAGCATGGCTGATGCTAACCTCCAGAGGAGTGAATCAATGCGCCTTCTGGAACACTTGTTTTCTACTGACATGAAGTGGAAAGTTTATAATTGAATAAATTGCTAGGTTTGCTGCTAAATAATTTTCCTTGCCACAATCTATTTTACATATCTATAAGTCTACCATTCGTCCTAGCTTTGAATATTGCTGCCACATCTGTTCTGGTGCTTCTGCTATATATTTAGAGATAAAGTCCAAAGAAATATCTGCAATGTTATTGATCGTAATCTGTCATCTCAACTTCAGTCACTTTCCAATTTATGTAAATGTAAACTAGTATTACACCTTTGTTCAAATTAATTTAAACAAATGACTTAGTTTCCTTTTTATACTAAACGGTCAGTCCCACTCGAGTGACAGGGTGTAATTGAATTCTGCTTTTTCCTCAGATTAGGTCATTTGCAGTGGTGTACAGCAATATGAATCTATTTTCAGTGTGTATGATGAAATGTGTTTGGCCTTGAAAAATATTGCGTCATCCGTGATTATATCAGATTTTTATCACGCCCAGGCACTAATGTCTCGACTGTCGATTACTAGTCCTACGGTCACTGTCTGCAATGGACATTACTCTAAGGAAGCGTACAAAAATTGTAACGCTGCACGGACACGATGTCAAGCCTTACCAGTGAGCAAATCAAAGTACTATCGACTGGCTGGGAAACTCTCCTGTTTTAAATCCAATCGAGAATCTGTGGTCAATCCGCAAGGAAAGACTTTGTGGAATAGATATACGAAGTACTAACATATGCACTGGGTCATCTTTCATTGGAAAAATATGAAAAAAAGTAAATAATAACGGAATTATTCGTTTTGTATCAATTAATTTGCACAAGGGTGTAGATTTTTTGGGGGGTGATAAAACTGAATTCTGCTTGTTACTTTCTCATATATTGATTTCAACCCATAGTAAAAGTCACCCTTACCTGAATGTCTCTCACTCCCACACAACAATTCATGCTGCACCCACGGAAATAAATCGCCCTTATTTCTATTGTAAGGATGAAGTGACACTCCGCTTTTTCTCAAGATCCGCTACTTTGTGGAACAATTAGCAGTTTCCATGCCAAATTGCATCAAAGAGCTTTTAAAAAATAAAAGCGTACTAACATATGCACTGGGTAGGATTTCATTGGAAAAATATGAAAAAAAATAAATAATAACTGAATTATTCGTTTTGTTTCTATTTGCACAAGGGTGTCATCTTAACGTGAACTTTTTACTGATAAATAATAATATTAAATTCCCCCATTGCATCGTTTGCGGCAAATAAAAGTTACCCTGACCTCTCGACGAACTCTCCCTAGTAGTGGAAGTACTGTTAATGATTTCCCGGGAGATTTGTTTTTGTTTTCTCCCACCTGGTTAAAATGTGATTGCGCTTTAGGCTTAAAAGAATCTTTGTTAATAGACGAACCATTCTTTTTCTGAACTCTATTATTGTTACCTGGGCATTCTAGGGGTATTTCCGATTTTCTTTAAGATAGAGACCTGTCTCCGTCTTAGTGGAATTTTTTGACACGTTAAATATTTGATCTTTACTTATAGAAGTAAGAGTGTACAACGTTAACAAAATATTTCAATAGCAATCGTAAATATGAATGGAGGTAATTATTTGAAGAAGTAAGAGGGTACAAATGAAAATATTTAAGAATGACAAGTTTTTTTTTCTACTTCCGAGAAATAGACATTTAAATCATGTGAGCGCTATCGCCTGTTCTATCTTTCTTTTTTCTTTTTTCTTTCTTTCTTTCTTTCTTTCTTTCTTTCTTTTTTCTTTCCTGCTTTCTTTCTTTTCTCTTTCCTGTTTTCTTTCTTTCTTTTTTCTTTCCTGCTTTCTTTCTTTTTTCTTTCCTGTTTTCTTTCTTTCTTTTTTCTTTCCTGCTTTCTTTCTTTTTTCTTTCCTGTTTTCTTTCTTTCTTTTTTCTTTCCTGCTTTCTTTCTTTATTTGTTTTTCTTTTTTGCCTTCTTTCTTTTTTTCTTTCTTTCTTGAGCATCTTTGTAGAAAATAAAAATTACCAGTGATGAACTCTCGCCATAGGGGTGGAATCGCTACTGTTTGAATCTTGTTTTTTCCAAATTTATTAAAATGTGATTCTACTTGGGGGCCTAAAAGGGATCCTGTTAATAGACGAAGCGGCTACTATCGTTACCTGGGCATTCTAAGCGTCATTCCTATTTTTGAAGATATAGGTAGACTCGTTTTGTCGAAAACTAGAAAATTTTTCGACAGTGATTGTTACATTTACTTTTGCGTAAATATTCTCGGGGTGAGTATGAATCCATCTCTTCTATCACTATTTATAGGTAAAATGGGATGCAGAATTAATTTCAAATTCATCCACCGCGACGCGAATGAGTTCGATATTTTTTTGTCGATAACTTCAAAACGGTAGATTTCATGAAAATTTCTTTGTTGTTTTCGAATTAAGCATTTACATTCACACCTAAATGGAACTATTCGGGAAATTTTTATTAGAAACTGAGCGTGGGGCTTGAAATGCAAATTACTCTTTTGCGGTTCCGAGTTGAAATTAGTTGTGTTACCTGGTAAAATATTAGCAACCCGTCTAGGAGAAGGGCAACTCTGTATTTTTAAACTATATTTGGCCCTGGTGGGCACATACTCGAACTACTAAGATCCGATGAGCATAGTTGCTGTATAAAAAACAGTGCACTGGTGTTAGTTACTCGGGAATTTTTGGATACGTTAAAAATTTGAGCTTAAGAATTTTAACAAAATATTGAAATAGCAAATCATAAGTATGAATGCAGATCATTATTTAAAGAAGTAAGAGGGTACAAATAAAAAGATTTAAAATTGAAAAGTTTTTTTTTATACTTTACAGAAACAGACGTTAAACAAATGTGAGCGTGATTGCCTCCCCTATCATCCCTTTCTTTCTTTCCGGCTTTTTCGTCCCTGCCTTCTTTCTTTCTTTCTCTTCCTATATTTCTTTCTTTCCCGCTTTTTTCTTTCCCGCTTTTTTCTTTCCCGCTTTTTTCTTTCTTGCTTTCTTCTTTTCTTGCTTTCTTTCTTTGCTACTTTCTTTCTTTCTTTCATTATACTATTATCATCCGGGAAAATTTCACGGTTTTGCTTTTTAAATTTTCTGATTATCATGTTTTTTTTAATGCATAATTAAGAGCACTGCAAGTTTCAGGATTATGGAGATTCATTCTTTAAAGAGGTAAGAGGCTACAAATGAAAAGTTTAAAAATTGAGAAGTTTTTCCATTTCACTGAAGCAGACCTTAAAGACACGAGAGCCTTATCGCCTCCTCTATCTACACACTCTTTCTTTCTTTCTTTCTTTCTTTCTTTCTTTCTTTCTTTCTTTCTTTTTTTCTCTGAAATCAAACAGCGTCTCTGATATGTCTTTTCCATTGACAGGTTTTTCTATTTCACTTCACCTTAAATATATAAGAGTGCTATCGTCTTTTCTATCTTCACTGTCTTCATTCCTTCCCCGACGTCCTTTTCATTATTTGGATTGGCAGGATGTGACGTATGTGTCAACTAATTAACTAAGGAAAAAAGAAACAATGTGATTTATAATATGTTAATTATAATGTTGATAGATGGGAAAAGAATACATCAGTTTAAACTGATGCCAGGAAAATATGAATTAACTATAAGCTTCTCACTCTAAACTATTAACGTCCATTGTCCCATTTTAGCAACAGGGACGTTAATAGCTTAAAGTATCTTAGTTTCCGGTTCCTGTTGGCAATGACTAACACATTAACAACTGGGTGCTACTATAGTATGACATCTACCGAGTCATTTGTGACCAACCGTAAATGACGATGAACTTATTGCTGGAAAATGCCCAGGAAAAACGATGACCTGTTTACTGTTTAAATTATATTAAATCAGTTTAGAAACATTAAAATCACTATTTGATTTTTTTTAAATTTTTTTGTACAAAAAAATTGTTAATGATTTTTCATGCATAACCAGTTCACTGTTCAATGCCTTTAACACTAACCCTTACCTAAACCCTAACGCTAAACCAAAGCCTAACCCTTACCCTAACTTACGGCTTAAGCCAATATTTCTCTTGCTTGTTCTGAAAAAACTGTTTTTGTGCATCCCATGAGAAAATGACTATTGCGGGTATTTTCAGCTTAAACGAGTTTCTTTATGTTGTTTTATAAACGGCTATGCGATCCTTCTGCCGGGTTTTGTCTATCATCCTTGAAGGCTGTAAGCTTTGTAAGAAACGTTTTTTGTTTTTATTTAACAAACTGATGTTAGTGACTTTATTGTTGCTTTCGTTTGCAAGGACATCAGATTCTTACCTTCCCTATAGACACAGAAATAAAAGCATCTTCGGTTACTTTTGTCTATCATCCTTGAAGGATGTAAGCTTTGTAAGAAACCTTTTTTGTTTTTATTTAACAAACTGATGTTACTGAATTTACTGTTGCTTTCTCTATAGACACAGAAATAGAAACCTCTTCAGTTACTATCCTCTCAGTGTTTTCCGCAGCGTTTTTGATGTCAATGGATCCTCCTTTCTCCTCTCTCGCATCACCGATGTTCAGCTTGATAGAATGCAGCTTGGTAGATGCTGATGTTACTTTCTGTGTTACTTATACAGTTCCTTTCTTAAGTTACTTCTGCTTTATCGGCTGTATTCTTTGTTAAGAAAAAAAACTGCAATAATTAGAAGATGCAAGATCATGTGATTATGGTGCTCGTGGGGTAGAATAGAATCATGACGTTCTAAAGTTTTCCCTCTATTATTTTTATTGTTTACAGTCTTCTGTTATCAGGGAGAAGAAGAAGAATTCCTCTTATCCACGGTGTATGCTGTCACAAGGACGCAAAAACTAAATTATGTTAGGATACACCAAATTTATTCGTTACTGCCACGTATGATTAGCAATTAGGATTATACATTCGTCATTACAATTGCTTCCCAAAAACGGAAATTATTTATGATTCAAATTTATAAATTATTCTTTCTGGTAAATACAAAATATTATAAGAAAAAAATACTTGACAAATATGAAAATATTTTCTAATAATATTTTATGTTCTCTCCAAGAAAATCTTCAGTTTAATCGTGTTTATTTTGCATATCATTCATGTAAACAACTTAGGCGGTCTTGTTTATCTGATACAACATTTCAAATCTCTGTCAATTCAATGAGATGCTCTTTCGTAAACATTGCAGTATGCGGTTTTTGTTTGGATTATTTTATTTATTTATTTTTTTTTTTTGACAATTATTTTTTCTTTTTTCTTCTTCAATGAGATTAGTACAATGTTCTTAAAATGTTCTTTTAGGATCAGAAAAATAGCAGGCTTTAATAAAGTCGTGTTAATAATAACAACGGCAAGTGAAATTGACAGTTTAAACCAATGTTCGTCAACTGGTGTTGACCGGAACCCTAGGATTCCGCGAGAGGTTAATAAGGACTCCGTGAGAAACAGTGATGAATAGACTAATGCATTTTTAGTAATTTTTTTTTGAAATTTATGTTCGTAATTTTACTATAAACATACGGCATAATGTTGGAATATCCTTGGTTATTATAATAAAAAACGTGCCGTGAGTAATTAGTCAGTGTCCTGAAACGTTTATAAAGTAAATTGTCAACAAAAGCCTTATCGCCTGAAGGAAATATTTAAAATATTTGGAAAAAATGTCACGGTAATATACGGACAATGCCAAATGGGAGGTGGGGAATCTTTTTTTTTTTAAAGTTTCAAAATTTTCACTCAGGGTTTCCGCATTATGAAAACAAATTTGAAAAAAAAATGTAAATAAAAAAATTCGGATGTTTATTTTTTCTAATATTTAACGCAGGCATACATTTCCTACTCTCTACGGTGAATACAACCTGACTGGAGTTTGAATCAAAGTTACTGTTGATTTTATCAGTCATGTTTAAATATGGTTTGTAGTAGTGTTTGAAACACCTGAAGTCGACACCATAACGCATATTATTTGATTAAGAAGTGAACATACACGGAAGAATTAAGCTTGTCTAAGATTAAAAAGATTAAAATATTAACTGTTTAATGCTGTGTTCCTTGGAACCCTAGAATTCCGCAAGAGGTTACTAGGGACTCTGTTAGAAACAGGGATAAATAGGATAATATATCTTTTAGTAATTTTTGTTGAATTTTATATTCGTAATTTTATTATAAACATACGGCATAATGTTGGAATATCTTTGGTTATTATAATAAAAGTTTCAACTTTTTATATTATTTATTATAATAATATGAGGGCATTTATTTAGCAATGTCTTTCTGGTGTCAGTGTGAAGCCGCTTTCACTGATTAGGACCTCTTCATGAGGGATTCGTGTAACATTGACACACTCAAGTGCAGGACGCGAAGCTTAGATGTGGCTCAAGTAAGGGACACTCAGTGAGGATCGAATTCCCTATTCAGTCGAAATTAATCTAGCGGGATAAACTCTTAAACCATTGCACCACATCAGTCCCCAAATGATTTCCTGCGCGTAGCTTAGATGTGTCAAAGGGCCGAAAGTGAAGAGCGCCCAGTGAGGATCGAACTCACTAATCATTTGTCATTGACAATAGCAATGCAGGCCTGCTAACCATTACACCACATCAAAGTGTCTCATGGCCGCGAGCACGGTGTCCATATATTATTTACCCCGTGAAAGACCATAAAATGTAAAAGAGTTAGATATACAGCGTAACCCGGATATAAGAGACCCTGATATAAGAGAAACCCGGATATAAGAGAAACCCGGATATAAGAGAGATTTTCTCTGGTCCCAAATTAGAGCCTGTGTTAATGTAAACAAAATAGACCAAACCCGGATATAAGAGAAACCCGGATATGAGAGATTTCTTCTCCGGTCCCGACAACTCTCTTATATCCGGGTTACACTGTATATAGTTGTATTGTCTACAGACAGTTTCATACTGGGCATTTGCGTCCCGGATAACTGCCTACCTCTGATAGTTTTTTGAAGTTACCATTTTTTTAAAAGAATTGTTTAATATAAAAATTTGCACACCAATATCTTTAATTGCTCTAAACAAGTAGAAATAAAAAAAAAAGAGACAGAAAAATTTCTTTTTTAAAGCAAGAGAAAATTAAGCTAGCAGTTTCAGTTCATTCCAGCAGTTCGTATTACGTACATCTAATAGTCATCTAATGGGGATTATATTTTTATTTGGAACCCATGACTAAGTTCCGAAAATCAAGCACTTATGGAAAAATATTTGTAGACGAGGAAAATTACAGCTACCGCTATCATAAGAAAAACGCTGATGAAACAAAAACACAATGGCGACGTGTAGAGCGATCTTGCAAACGGTTAATTTCAGTTTGCAGTTTTTAAAAAAATACATTTTTAATTTTTTTCCTTTTATTCCTTAAAAAGAAAAATACGATTATTGCCTACACTTTTAAAAAAATTGCCTTTAATCCCCCCCACACACACACACAAATTATCAGCAGTACGCAATTATCCAGAGATGCAAATGTCCAGGGACGCAATTGTCTGGTACGCAAATGTCTTGTACGCAACTGTCGTAGAATTATAGTGGTATATAATCATTTTATGCAGGGGTTTCTGAAGACTATTTCAGGGGTTCCACAGCTGTAAAAATGTTGGGACCTGTCAGCCTCAGGTATAATTTTATGTTTGTCTACTTAAAGTTAATGTCATGTTAGCATTATATGATATTTCAGTTTAAAATATTTAGCTTTAACAAATAAATTTATAAAACAGAGAGGCAAGAACAGTTCCATTTCAGATTGAGAGGGTTATTTTTAATGTTTATCTAAATAAAATACAAAACTCCAAAAATTCTTTAAATGGAAGAATCCAAGTAAATATGTCTGAATCATATCTTTTCAATATCAATAAATGCAAAAAGATGGAAATAGTCAAAGACTAACTGACAAACCGAAAATAAGCAAATGACGAGAACTAGATATCAAGATACTTCTGGAAGTTACTTATATATAAGCTATCTTCTTTCAGGTCGTTGGCGATCATGACTCTCCACAATTTCCTGCCCTTTGCAGCCTTCTAATAAAGTTTGTATTTTTGTTATCTCTCCTAAACCTCGTTCCGCCATCCATTCTCAGAAGTTTACCAGGTTGTTCCTCTTATCTTCTATAGGTCCTGTGAGTTTCAAATTTTCCAAGTCCTCTTTCCTTATTATTCGGCCTAGAAATTTCAACTGAGTGTCCTTTTTTAAATTTTTATTTCCGTATTCTCTAAAACTTCGTTGTTGCTCATGGTATTCTCAGGATCCTTCTGTAGAACCACATTTTTATTTTATCAATAATCCCTCTAACGAATAATTTATTAAACTCAGTTTGGTTTACGCAAGCAAGTCGTACCCCACCAAAAAAAAATGGTACTCATCTCTCTGTGGTAGGCAGCAGGAAAGAAGTAGATAATACTAATTATCAAATAATATTTAAACTTTCTTTGGAGTATCAAATTTTCTAAGCCTTCTTTTCATCATTTTAGGCCCTAGAAATTTGGATTGTCTCTTCTCTGATGTTATTTATAAGTGACATTTTTGTTTCCATTTTTTGTCTAAAACTTTGTTGTTGCCCACATGTTCAGTCCAAGACATTCTGAGCATTCTTCTGTAGAACCACGTTTCTCTTGCTTCATGTCTCTTCTTCATTATTGAGGAGTCACGGCCATATAGAAAGACTGATATTACATAAGAGTCTGTACACTTTTCTTTGTTTTTAACAAAATTTTCCTGATTCTTAATACATTACTTGATTTTGGAAGACATCGCAAAACCCAATAAGCAGGTTCTTTCTGTCAACATCATTGTATTCTCTAAACGAAGATATTGATTGGTACACTTTTAAGAATCGTGTCATTATCCCCTTGGTTAAGGTGAAATGATTTTTTAAGGTGTGCATTTATAAAGCAGCCAAGAGGTACACAAGCAGGAATATTGTACTTACTGTGGCTTACTGGTCACATTATGATTTCACGGTTTTATCATGAAACATCGAAGTCATCTGAATATTTTGAAGAAAAGAAGATTGTAAACCCAGTAATCGTCAGTATGGTGTGTGTATTGTCATCAGTTTAATGTTCACTTACACCAGAAAAAAAGTCTTTCCTTTCCTATTTAATAGAAAAGATTTAAATAGATATATTTGAGAACATTTTATTAGGGGTCACTCAGACAGTTAAGTCCAAAACGCGATACACACTTGAGGGATCATGTCTCTTTCGATCCATGACTGATTAGGTAGAAGATTAATCTGTAGCAGATTGCCCTATCTTTCTGCGGTAGACTGATAACCAACCAAGGCTATAGAAACCTATTTGACATATTCAACGCATAACTGGATGGAGAAGAGACGAATTCATGCCTTTCTTAAGAGTATTTGCGCGCAGCTGAATATAACGAACTTGACTGAAATTCGAATTCGGCTCTCCGACTTCTCATTCCGAGTCGATATCAATTATACCATAGCACATATCATTAGGGCTACAAAATTTAATTAATGTAATTTTAAATATAATAAAAAGGGACAAGAGAGAAACTACTACAGTTGTTGGCAGTATGAAATATTTTCCGATCAATTTCTATAATTTTCCAGTTTAGGTATCGATGAGACGCGGTTCATATGTCCACCCAACGCCTAGAGAAGAGAATTGCGCA